TTTTTTTTAAAGGTTACTTTATACTTTTATACTTTAAGTAGTTTTTGGAGCACATACTTTTTCACTTTTACTTGAGTAAAGAGGTGAAAATGATACTTCAACTTTTACCAGAGTGTTTTTAAACTGCAGTATCTATACTACTACTTAACTAACAAATGTGTGTACTTTTGACACCACTGCCCCCTAATGGCTTTGCTTCTATTTTACAGCCTTGTTTATTATATTTCGAATCCATTGTGTTGGTGTATAGAGCCAAAACGATTAGAATTATGCCCATGTGCCAACATTTATGGAACATACCATCAACCTACATTCTACTTTCCATGTTTTACTCTTCATTCATTTTTCTTCAATAGCTGGCACCTCTGAAAACTATTGATAAAACTAAAGAAAAAGAACAAGAGAAATAATAAATGACACGTGTTATCAGAAAATTTTGATTTCTCTTCTATTATATATTAATTTATCCTATTTACTCACTATACAAGTTTTCACTCAGTCTGTTTCACCTTGAAGGCCACACAATTCTCTACAGGATGGTGTTTGTGGACCAGTCATAGCTTCTTCCCATAACAAGCCAGATTCTTTCTAAAGGTTTCTTCATAACATTTCACTGTTAACCAAAGTGTCTGTACCGTAATTTGTTTTGACTCTGACTACTTTTCAATTGTTGTAAATAAGGGGAAACGAACGCTGCCCAGGCAGAACAGGGCTTAATACTGTGCCATAAGGGTTGCATGATGAACTGTTCTCTCTTTGCAAAGATATAAATAAATGTGCCGACTGAGTGAAATCCATCGATCTCTGTTTATTTAACTAGGGTGAATAATTGAGTTCTTTTTTTCCACTACACACGTAATCTCATACAAACTGCAATCAAACTTGTAGATGCTATTAACAGTCACATTTCTGCTGAACAGACTTATTTAAGAAGTGTTCCTTCTAATCTTCCTTTAAGGCCACAGTGGGAGTGCCTTCGTTCAGCCATGCAGCTTGGCGTCCGGGTCCTGCCCTCCCATGTGTTCCTGTAGCAACAACATCGTCAACTGTCGAGGGAGGGGCCTAACCGCCATACCTGCCCACCTGCCAGAGGCCATGACAGAGATGTAAGTAAGCAACTCTAGCAGGTAAAATAAATCCTTTTCGAATCATTTTGTCAGAAAATCATGCATCTTTCAAAAGAGACGCTTGACATCATGCATATAAGAATAAAGCAGCTACGCAAAAAACGAAAAATCTTAGATTATAGCAATAATATTGAAATTGGACCCAAAATGTATTTTTGCAGCCGCTGATTGTTCAAGTTCCCCTACTAAGAAGATAATAGAGGTCTTTAATTTTAATCAAAGCTACAATTTCACTTTGAGAGACAAAATAAGAAAAAAAAGAAAAAAAAAAAAAAAAGACATTGTAGGATTATTAAATAATTTATTTTTAAATTGTGGAAATAAGTAACCAAAACAAGCCAGATTTCGGGTCATCACAGACCTTTAACTTATTTGAGAAGCTCTTCTGTCCTCCTGTATTAATGTTTAAACACTTGTTTAAAGTTATTATCTATATAGAAGGTACCTGTGAATAGCCTCAAACAGTCACACTCCAACTGAACTTTGGCCAGGATGAAAGAACTGCTGCACCAGGCTTGAAGAGTAAATCTACAACGGGAAAGAAGATTGGTGAATAAATCAGTTGAGGGAACAATTGAAAGAAAATGAAAGACATACAAGACCAAAGATCATTTCTGTAGATCTGAGGCCCCATAATGATCATTAGAACGGGGAGCAAACTCCCAGAAGTACCCAGAGGGACCTGATGAATGACCTACAAAGAGCGAAGGGGCAAAGGCCACCATTAGTAACACTCTACACCCAGAGGGACGCAGATTCTGCTGTACCAGCCATGTCCCTCTGCTGAACGCAATACATGTCCAGGCCTGTCTGACGTTTGTCAGAAAATACATGGAGGATCCAGAAGAAGATCGGGAGAACATCATGTGGTCGGACGAAACCAAAATAGAACTTTTTGGCACAAACTCAACTCTTCATGTTTGGAGGAAGAAGAACGCTGAACTGCATGTCTACTGCAAAGCATGGGGGTGGACCCATCATGCTATGGGGCTGTTTTTCTGTAAAGGGGATTTGACAATAGATCGATGTTAAGGAAGGAATAAATGGGTTTGGTAAGATTTTAAGCCCAAACCTCCTTCCATTGGTTATGGGTAGAACGTGGCTGCGTCTTCCAGCAGGACAATTATCAAAACACGTTGCTGGGCAACAAAGGAGCGACTATATTAAAAAGCATCTCAAGGTCCTGGAGTGGAACTACTCAGTCTTGAGAGGGAGATGAATGTCAGCGTTTATTCTGGCGACAGCCACAAAACAGCACCGCTGTAGAGGAGATCTGATGGAGGAATGGGCCAAAATACCAGCTACAATGTGAGCAAACGTAATAAAAACTGACAGGAAATGTTTGACCTCTGACTTCCAGCAAAGGTTCTGCTACAAAGTACTAATTTTAACTTTTGTTTGTATTTTTTCACCGTAATGTACAGAATCTTTAAAAATCCCCCAATGTAATTCCCTGTTTGGTTTTTCCTCTCTTATAGTCGAAGTTTACCTAAGGTGAAAATTACAGACTTCTCATCGGACAATCAGGGGCTAAAGAAACTTTTTTTTTGCCTAACCGTATTAAGGACATGTTTATTCTAAAGTAAAAAAAAAAAAAAAATGCAGACTTCAGATTTTAAGATTATTTAATAACGATGTTGAAAATTCAAAAGCTTCAACATTTTTCTGAAACCTGCATCTAAAACCCACCACATAAAAGGTTCTGATGAATGAGAAAGGACTTTCTCCCTACCAGAAGCACACTGAAAAGATATAGCTCAAACAATTTATTCTAACCTGGAAAGTTTTGGATATCAGTAAACACAATATTGTGCCAATGGAAATAAAAGGCAGCTGATCAACGTTTTACTCTGTTCTTTGTTTCCTGTAGTCGTCTGGAGCAGAACGGCATCAAGTCGGTTCCTCCTGGTGCTTTCAGCTCTTACAAGAAACTTCGGCGAATGTGAGTTGTCCTGCAGTTAAGTCAGTCTCTATCATGGGATATGATAAAGATTTTAAAAAATATATGGTTAAAGATTGACATTAAAGGTCCTGGCTAAAACTTTTATTGCATGCAAAACTGACAGTTTTAACAATCTGAAGTTTATTTATAGGTAACTCAAACACAATATTATAGAGATTATTTCTTTCATATTTAAAGAAGATGATAGTACAGAAGCTAATAATCCAGAAACAGGCAAGGAACTCAGGAATTATTAATGAAGAGAATCCAGCAATGAGGAAGTGCACAGGAGGTGTTTATATGGGAGAAAGAACAAAGAATCGGCTAATAAGCTAATGGGGAGCAGGTGTGGATAGAAGTAACTAGAAGGGAGCTAGGGGAAAGGAGACTGCCACAAGGGGGCGACAGAGTAACTCAAAAAATACAACACTGCTTAAAAATAATTAGAAAAGTACAAGAATGACACAAAATGGAAAAGAAACCTCTGACCCAGAAAACACAGAATGATATAAATCAAAGTGTAACTGAAAACTCAAAAAGAAACTTAAACAGA